CCTTCCTTCCTTCCTTCCTTCCTTCCTTCCTTCCTTCCTTCCTTCCTTCCTTCCTTCCCCCCTGAGGTCTGTTTTCCCTGGCAGAGGGTTGTTGAAGGTGGTCATGGCTGAAAACAGGGCCTGGGGCAACCATGCGTGGCCCTCCCAAGCTCCGTTTTCACTGGCAGGAGTATTGCAGGCCAGTCTTTTGCTGTTTCCAGAGCGGCCTAGAGTGGCCTAGAGTGGCCTAGAGCGGCCTAGAGCGGCCTAGATCCAAGCACCCCATGGGCTGGATCTGACCTGCAGGCTTCAAGTTTGACTTCCCTGCTTTAATCGAAGGGTGTTCAGTTATTACTCCAATTGATGATCATATCTATGTTTATTGCAAATAAGATTATTCTTTTGATTATTTTATGTGCAATCTCCTTGATCAGAAAAATAATATTTTCATCATTATCCTGTTGATATCCTACTAATTATTTGGAACAATAAGTAATCATGAATAGAATTACCCTTTATTCAAGCATCTAAATTTCATAAATATTTCTTGCCTGCAAAAGCTTTCTAAAATAATTATTAATCAATGCATTAACGTGGCTAAAAAGATTAGTCAAATTCTGATGACTTCATAGATACATTCACATAGCATCCTTGACAGCAACAGTTTACCTTTGTCTTCTGAGATGCTATTTCAACTCCTCAGTCCAACCTATAGCTCTGATGTTTCCAAGTTTCCTATACAAATATTAGCTAGACTCAAACAGCTTACCTTATGAGCCCAGACAAGGTTGGCCAGAGGCTAGTCTCAGTTGAAAGTAATCAGCTTCACCAACACCTTAACCCGCAGCTCAGTAGATTATTCCATCCCCAAAGAACAGGTTCTTTTGCTCTGTTTATTTTACATGTATGAAGCCACTCTTGCAAAAATCATGTATGAGGCCCCTCTTCCTGAACAGTCATGTTATATATTTTATACTGTTGCAACATATTCTGGAAATCTTTTTAACCATTAGCATTATAACTTACAAGAACATGGTCATAATCAGCTCCATAGTCTTCAGAACTGGCCACCTGCTTTTGCTCATTGATCCACTCCTCAATATCTTCATATTCTCTTAGGAAGTCATGTAGTTCAAGTGTCTCCTCCAACTTTTTACCCCTAGTTTGAAAATAAAATAGACAGAACAAAGGCAACAGAAATCTAAGGAGTTTTGATACAACCACTAGGTAAAAATGACACATTCAATATCATTTTGAAGCATAAGGCCAGGGGTCTTCAAACTTGGCAACTTTAAGACTTGTGGACTTCAACTCCCAGAATTCTCCAGCCAGCTCTGCCAGTTGAAGTCCACAAGTCTTAAAGTTTGAAGACCTCTGCATAAGGCCAATGATTACAACTGATATGTATAGAAGACCCTTATGAATTCAGTGTTAGGCTAAGGAAGTCTAGTGTACTTTGCCTTCTTCAACTTTCCTCCTTAAAAATAGCCAGACTTCTTCCATTAAGGGGAAAAAAGATAGATAGAATTCTATAAAAATATGAGTGGATTCTACAAGGGTTACACTTTTATTTGTTTATTTTATCACTCTATAAGGCTGCCCTTTTTGCAAGTGTGACTCTGAATAGGTAACAACATCAATAAAAACAATATCAGCAAAAATGTGGCTTCATTATATACGAGTGAAGAGATAGCATCAGTTTAACAATAAATACTCCTCTAAAAACAGCCACAAAAGGAAGTTCATCTGGATATGGATGGATGGTGCATATGTGAAGTCAGCTGTGACATAATCCTGCATCTAAGCATACTTTCCTGCTTCCCTGTCTTCTTATGAACTGCCTATTTTTTTTAGCCAAGGTTATTTCCATTAAAAGGACAAATACTTGCACCATGCTGTCTATGAAGCATCACATATGATTATATAGAAACCAACACATGATGGAACTTTTCTTCATGACAGACCCATATGCTTTTTTTTGCCTCTGCAGACATGATATATGGTTATGTCCTACTGAATTATTAGGATTGAGCTCTCTGGCAAGGCAATATAAAACCATCAAACAAAAAAATCCAAACGATTCCCATAATTTTCACATTGTATGACTGAAATTCACTTCCTGATGAAAAGAGGAGGAAGGGAGGGAAAAGAAAGCTAACAAGAAAACATGTAATTGGACTACACAAGTCTTTTTTCCTCCCCTACCTTGCTTTGGCCAATGTTTGTAGTTCTTGAAGCTTTGTGTGAACTTGTCTTTGAGGCATATCAACTTCATCATAATGGATGGAGCCTGAAAGTGGTAGAGTTTTGGCAGTTTTCTCTAGTTCCATGACTAAATTCTGATAAATGCCAATTTCATGCTCTAGAGCCTGACCCAAAATAAATAACAGTTAAAGAGAAAACATAGAACATTCAATACTGACAAAAAGTAGTCCAGTTTTACTTAATGTGCAAAAGTGATTCAGGGACCTCAAATTAGCAGACAATATCAGCTTTAACTGAAGCCATATTCAACACATATAAAACAAGCTAGAAGACACTTACACGAGTCTTCCAAATGCAACGTTTGTTAGAAGCCATTGTAAAAACAGATTAAGTACATAAATAATGTACTGACAGGGAATTACTAATAAGAAGCATAAACTATATGGAAGTAGAAGCAAGTTGTTTACATAGGATTTCCTAAGAAAAGAGCAAGTTTATGATAACTCGGTACATGGTTAAAGGCAAAGAAGTTGTTTTTCAAAATCAACCAATTACTGTTTGAGAACTGTTATTTGATCCTATTAAGGTACATATGAAGGTGATGCCTCCAACCAACTTGATAAAAGTGCTTGTTTTCTTTCAAAATTTATCATCTGTGAGAAAACACTCTGATCATAGTCTCAATGAAGCAACTTTATTAAGCACTTTAGACGTTGGTTCACACTTGTTTGGGCATTCAGCATTATTTTTTTTCAGTTTTTTTTTCATTAATATTTATAGGCCGCCCTTTTCCCTGAGGGGACTCAGGGNTTGTACTTTTTGTAAACTCCTTATTGATTTTTTTAAAAATAGTTATTCATTTTCTTGTCTTCCTATTTTTGTTTTCTTCTTCTTTTGTACTCCTTTAAGTAAAACTCAAAATAAAAAGTAAAACAATTTTCTCATGTACACATTACGCGAAAGAAATCATATTGAATAAAATGTCTTATATCTATGTTTCATTTTGGATTCTGTGTTTGAAATGCAGATTTAAATCAGTATATTTGTTTTCTTCTTCAGGGTTTTCTTCCAACCCTGGTTCATCTTGTATAGATAATATGCCATTAGAAAAATATTGATTATTTGAATAGACTTACATCCCTTGTCTAAATAGGATAGAGGTATCACTAAAATCGCAGAGAGATATTGTGCTACCAAGTTCCAAATCATATTTATGCATAGCTTTCGTAAATACAACAAAGAAAAATCTGAGAATGAAAAGGGTGCATAGATTAGAAACAGGTTTTCTGTTAGAAATAAATTTGTAAAATTCAGAGCAAGTTTAAAGCTCAACTTGGGCATAATGCTAATTCACTGGTTGACCAAGTACTCAGTTACTATTTCTCAATGAAATTTGTCTCATGAGTTTATTGTCAGAGTAAAATAGGGTATTCTCAAAATGACAAGATGATTTTTAAAATTCCCTCCAATTGTTTCGAACAAAAACAAAATTTAAAGTTTTGGAGACCAGTAGTGTCCTATATGTTTGCCATGAATTGTTTAGCTATTCTTCTGGATAACATTTCTGGCTCGCTGTGCTGGGAAAACTTGGCTACTTTTTAAGCAATACTGTCATGAAAAGTACTATAAAACAACTTTCTGTCATGAAAAGTATTATAAAACAACTTTCCTTAAATTTTAATTCTCCCCTGAAAATAAAAATTTATTCTCCCTCAAACCTACAGTTAGGCTGCTCTGAATTTTAATTTGTTTTAATTTGAGCTTCTTTGCATAATATAAAACTGTAGAAATTCTTATAAATCACTAAGAATGATTATATATTCTTGTACTGGCATGCCAATTAATTATGAGCTTTAAATTACCACATTTATAGAATTGCTTCATTGGACCAAGCTACGCATTTACTGTATCTGATTCATACTATTCTGTCCACTTGTCAATCTAGGAAACACCTTATAAGCTTTTAATGAAATAGTTTCTCAGATAGTTGGTTTTTTTTAAAAAGGCCAGTATTAAATCTATTGATGCAAGCATGTTAAAATTGGACAGCCACATATTATGTGGCAATTAGATGTCTGATACTATATTTCAGGACACATTATTTTGCAAGAAAACCCACCTATTTTTAGTGATATTTTTTTTTAGTGATTTTATTAATATTTATAGGCCGCCCTTTTCCCTGAGGGGACTCAGGGCGGCTTACATAAAATAGGGAAGGGCGGGTACAAGACAATAAACGCAAAACAATACATAAGAGTAAAATAGTACACAACATTCATTCATCATTCGGGTGGGGACAGATTATAATCTTTATCCCCAGGCCTGACGGGCTAGCCAGGTCTTAAGGGCTGTGTGGAAGGTCTGGACGGTGGACTATCAGTTATCAGAAGGTTCAATATCCATTTTTGGACAATGATGAATATTTCATAAATTTGTATTGAAATATTAATATTCCTCTGCATATTTTAGTAAAATGTTTCAAGCTAAAATAGAAGGAAATATATTCATTTTTAAAAATATGAATATGTAAAAATCTTTAATATTTTGCATTCATTGGGAGTTAAGCCTAACTGGAAGGATTTTTATAAGTAATGTTATCACATTTGTATCATTTATTCTCAATTTTATGTTTAAATTTTAAGTAGGTGCATTAAACTCTATTTCCCCTTTTTTGTTTTTGAGACAACTATTTGAATTTTCATTGACTTTATTTAAATTGTGGTGGTTTTCCTGAGCTGCTTTCACTTTACATTTTTCAAGTAAAAAGTAATTTCACACTAAAAAAAAAGTAACTGAGAAAGAGAAAAAAAGGCAAAAAGTGAATATAATTCTGAATCCTTTGAAAAAATCTACTTGATTGTTGGGAATTATTTGGAAAAATACTGAAATATAATTGATTTATAATTTTTCTACCATAGTTTAATGCTCATAGTTTTTCTGCAAAGTTACATCATAACTGGTATAACAACTTGTATATCATTCTTCCCAGATCAGTGCATCTGGATCAAGCTTTTACTTTCCATTGCTTTTTCTCATGTATGAAATACAGGTTTTTGGCTTTTATTCATACCTCTTGATATTTCCTTTTTGGGAAAAAGAAGTCTCTTACAAATTTTGTTTTGGATTTTATTCTGCCAATTCTTATTTGACCTTTCCCAAATGAATGGAATCTAGTCAAATTTTATAGTGGCAATCATTTTATTTCTCATGGACACATATATGTAAGACAGCATGGACATGGTCATGATAGGTTTCCAGACAGTGATTTTGACATAAATTAGCTAAATTCTACAAAGAAATCCTAGAACTACTTCTGGTAGAAATAGTTATGGAAGACAGGTGATGAAATCTGACTTCAATTATATAAATAGTATTTTGCCAATAACAATAATCACATAATCCCAGAATAAGCACCAAACCCAGGCACATCAGGTTGGTAGATTAAAGAAAAATAAATTTAACCTTTAATACAAAAGCACTTATTCACTAGCTCTATCACAATCCCCAATATGTAAAATGCTAATTATGTCCATCTAGTTCCCCCCCGCTCTCAGTGATATAGTCTACTAAAGTAAAAATACATTTCCTTATAGCTGATTGCTAAAACTAATTAAACAATTTTCTTAATTAACAAAGTCTTATAATAATATCGTCTGTCATCCTCCCCCCATATTAAGATAGTTTCATAAAAGGAGAAGTACTGAGAAAGAACTTTTGTCCACACTCAGTAGGAAGAGTATTTGCTTTTTCTTTAATTATTAATACATAATGTTCCAGGTTGATCCTGACTGGCAAGTTACGTACGTATAAGGAAGAAGCAGTGAATGCTCCTAAACAGGATTAGCATGGGCAGCACCAGCCCAAAGCACTGCATATCTGCAAAATCTCTGATTTCATTCTACAGGTGTCTGATTTAGGATTACTGTGTAAAAGAAACCATATTCTTTTATGCTCTAGGTGAATATTTTATGGATATGATTATTTTCAATACAATATCTGTTGAAGGGTTTATTTCCCTGCTCTGTTTATCGTAGGCCAATGATGGCTAACATTTTTGTCATCGCATGCCAAAAGTGGGGGGGAAGCATGAGGGGGTCATGCATGCACATGCCCACACCCATAATTCTATGCACCCGCCCCCATGCATGCAACCATGACCCCCCCACTTTTGGCATGAGATTACACAGTGGACCCATTTTTCGCCCTCCCCAGCCTCCAGACCCTTTCTAGGAGCCTGGGGAGGGCGAAAAAGGCCTCCCCCACCCCCCTGAAAGCTGAATACAGCCCATTTGCTAACTTCCGGTCAGACTAGAAGGTCCATTTTTCACTCTCCCCAGGCTCCAAAGCCCCCCCAGAGGCCCCCCGGAGGCTGAAAATGGCCCATTTTCCAACTTCCAGTCAGACCAGAAGCTCTATTTTTCAGAGGCCAAAAACAGCTTGTTTCTTGACTTCTGGTGGGCTCAGAAGGCCCAAAAATCAGCTGGCCCACTGATATGGCTCTTTGTGCCATCTGTGGCATGCATGCCATAGGTTCGCCATCACGGTTCTAGGCTATAGAGATAGGTAACTGGCAATTTGCGGTTTGGGAAAGAAAACTTGAGTCACTGGGAATCACTCTAAACTTGGAACAGGCTGTAAAACAACTTACCTAATAATGTCAATGAAAACTTCAGTGCTAATTTAAAGCATTCATATCATTGCGTCATATTGAACTGTGTAATAGTCTTTCGCAGTTTGTTACTTTCTGATGTGTTGAAACATTTTCCAGACTCTTTCAACAGAGCTTGTTGTCAGCCCTGAAGCCATTTTGAGCTGAAACTATTTTGGGAGCATCTTCAGGGCTGCAGTAGCAAGCCCAGTTGGAGCTGTGAGAACAAAAGAGGGGAGATAGAGATAGCTGGGGATGCGTAGCCAAAACAACATTCTTTCCCATGGAAGCCAAGGTGTTGGCTTCCAGGTGTTGGAGAGGCATGTACCAAAGCCAGCCCGGATGGTGGCTGAGACCTGATTTGGCCATGTGATGGACATGTGACCTGGAGGAAAGAACTTTGAGGTTTGATATGGGTGGGGAAAACCCTTCAGTTGGGTTTTTTCCAGATGTGCCAATATAACTTGCCTAATAAATCTATACTTGGAGGAATATGTCTGCCTTAGAGTTTTGATTCTGTTGTGTGTGTTAACTGGAAGACTGACATTTGTCTTACATTACCTGGGAATTTGGTGTTACAGTCCAAACATGGCAGAATGGCATTTTGATGTAGAAAACTGCACTGCATCATTCAAAAGTAAGTGATATGAAATCTATGGCATTTTTTACGTCAGTGAGTTGCAACTCTCAGCATGGTTGAGAGAATTTATATAGCTTGTTGACAACTACTGTAGAGGCCATAGCACTCTACCTCTGAAATGCCTCTGAAATACTGAATTGGGCAATCACTATAGATTTTTTTTCATTTGATCAGACACTCAAACAAATTATACAGAATTCGTGATCACGTAGGAAAACTCATAGCACTTCTTTTATAATATCTACTACTGTCACAGATATCAGAGTTTAGGTTTAGGTTTTAGGTTTTATTTAATTTGTATGCCGCCCTATTCCCGAAAGACTCAGGGCGGCGAACAATCTGAAGGGGAAGGCGGTACAAAATAGAAAATAAAAAGACAAACAATTTAAAAATACAGCAACAGTCGTAACCTCAGATGGGGCTGGAAACTTCAACAGCCCCAGGCTTGCTGGAACAGCCAGGTCTTAGTTGCTTTGCGGAGGCCGGAAGAGTGGTAAGGGTCCGGATCTCAACGGGGAGCTCGTTCCAGAGTCAGGATCATCCAGCATGATCTTGCCACCTTTTAATATACTTAGGATTTATGAGGTGCATGAAAAACATACAAGGCAGGAAACACAAGCAAATTTAATTTATTTAAGAAAAGATGGCAACAACATGACAATGACCTTTGTTGAGTTCTGTAATATATATCGTTGGAAATCAGGCTTTAGCTTCCAATAAACATATTGCTTTGTTTGAAGGAATGTTTTGATCGAGGAGTAATCAAGTAAACAGCAACAATCAAACCATCTGGATTTCTGAGTTGATAGGCAACCCAAAGAAGAAAAGAGGTGGCCATGTATTTGTTTTCTATTAAGGAAAAAAATTCTTTAAGGAAAAAAATCATGATCTATATAAAATCAATACAAACTTAGAATCTTTTTTATAATGAAGGAAAAGCTAGTTACACAAGTAATAAGACGTCACACCTTATATTTGATTTGCTTTTCCCACTTCAGGACTTTGTTCTTTGAAACAGATGTTTTTTCACATTAGGAGTGTGTTTAAATATTTGGAAATATGCCAGTAATACAATCTCTTAAGTAAGATTTGGTTTAGCCCGGGGGAGTGCGTGTTCGTATCTTTGATTATTTTCTACAAGAGTTTGAGTTAGTTGTGCAACATCCTGCTACTATGAAAAAAAGTGCTGAGTAATGGTTAGCACTAGCTCGTATGGCTGATGCAAACCTGTGGAATTTGCATCATCATTCAGCAAAGCTAACTTGGTATGACAAGGAAGCTTAAACACAATACCATACTGAAGTGGAGCTGGCTTCCAATGACAGAACAGCACCAAAGTAGCTGGGAGAAAAAGCAGGTGTTTTTCAGTAGCAGTTTGATATTGCTGAAAAGTTAAAAGACACCCAAGGAGCTTTATACCTGTTGGCACAAGCAGGTTTAACAGCTAGAGACAGTAAGGAAGCATGTGCAATAGTTTTTAGCTAGGAAAAGGTGAAGAGAAGAAAAAAAAACAGAGAAGTTTGTTTTAATCTTTGTAAATTGTGTGAGCTGCTCTAAAGCATGTTTAGGAAGTCTCCAGTCTCGTCATGTTCGAATGGAAGCTCCCCTCAGGGACAGTCTAAGTTACCTTCAACATATGACATCAAGGTAGAACCAGGAGACCAAGTGGTGCTGAAGAAGAAAATAACTTTGCTGAGAGGAATATCCATTATAATTGGCACTATAATTGGAGCTGGAATCTTCATCTCTCCAAAAGGAATTCTCCAGAACACTGGCACGGTGGGAATGTCCTTGATTGTCTGGACTGTCTGTGGCATTCTTTCACTCTTTGGTAAGTTTTGAAAGTTGTTAATTGATCCTTGGGGTGGCTAGCTTGTACTGGTGATGCTATCTATCTGTCTCTCCATCCATCTATCTATCCACACAGATACGCACACAGCCTAAAGGTCAAAAGTTTGGTTAATGTGCCTTTTGTACTGAATGGATTTAAATGTTTGCTTTTAAAATAGATAGGGCTCCCAAAAATAGATAAAGGAGTTTTCTAAATCATAAAATCTGTTATTTGTGTTGTTTCTGTACGCACTCTAAAAACAAGTTGCAGCAGGCTTGCAGAATGCTCCAGCTAGAGAGGATCTTCTCAGTCTTGAGAACTTGAGGCAAATAAGTTCTCAAATACCTAGCTCAGTGTTTTATAAAGATAATTATTAATGGAGTAAATTTTAACTGAATTATCTGCTAGTCTCCAACATATAGCAATATAGACTTAAATTACTTTTTTAAAAATTAAATGAGACTAAACTTTTCCTGGAGCTGTCGATACTGAACAGGAGTTTCTTACTTCACTGATAGGGAAGATTATTTGATAAAAGCAAAATCCCTAGTGCATGCTCAGAAGCAGTCTTGTAATGTGTGGATGCATTCTTGTAATGTTGGCAATTGCTGTCACTTAAAGTTCTACAGTTTTAAAATTTAATCTTTAGTAGTATGCATTTTCATTATTGAGCAATGTGAATTTCTTGTCAGTAGTTCTATATACGAGTGTAATTTTGAGGAGCAGCATTAATAATATGCATTGCAATAATTTGCAATGTACAAAATGGCATTGCTTAAAGATTTGGGATTGCTCTAAATGTTAATAATTATATTGGGAGCACAATGTATCATTGATATTAGAATTATCTCTCCTTCTTAAACTGTCCAAACAATGAATTCATTGATCTCCTTAATCAGCTAAGAAGGGGATAATCCATATGACTGGAGTAATTATTATAGTCCATGCTACTTTTTTCTAGCATTAGGAACAGTGAATAAACTAGATTGAGTATCAAATATCCAGCCAAAAATGGAGTGAATGTTGCTCTCTGTCAATATATTCTGCATGTTAAAGAGCAGAGGTGAGGATCAATCCACCCTTGATAAACAAATTGCTTTACATATACAAACTGGGTCAGAAGTAGAATATAGAATTGACACACCAAGAATAATTTATGGTTGCTTCCTTCAATCTAGTTCTTCCTGGGTATCTAGATTTCAGATTTTTAGAATTCTTAGATATGGTTATCAAACATTCTAGGAATTGAAGATATGTAAAACAGCTAGGCTGAAGATGATTTCCCTTTCTTATAGTTCTTATAAATTTCAGATGTCTTATTCTATGATGCCCAAGTAGTGTGACTGGCTCAGATAGGAAAAATACAAACAGTATATTTCACACTTTTTGAAATTCCCATATTGGTTAACTAACATAGAAAATCCAAGGATTATCCATACAACAGATCCATATTTTGAACTTCTTACAATGGTATTGTTTCACTTATGCTACTTGTTTTTATTAGGGAATGACTAAAGGAACATAATAATTTTTATTCTTCTGAAATTTGCAATGCACAAATGTTTTCTGATAAATTCACTGAAAATGAGTTCAGCAGTAAATCCTTCCTGCTACTATTCAGTATGTTTAACACTGCCCCCCAACAATTCCATTTTCCATTTTTGTTCCTTACGGGGTTTTAAGACTTTAATTATTAAATTAAACAAAATTAATCTATTAATCCAATTATGCCTACTAAAAAGTAATATGGAGATAGTTCTGTAGCTGCTTATTTTAGAGAATTGAACATTTTCTTAAGGGAATCAGGTGAATGTTTATTTTGAATTATTGATAAACATCTCTAGGTTTGTCTCGTAATTTTTATTGTGAATGATTTAGAAAAGAGGCCTAGAAATGTACTGATTTGATTAAATGTAAAGAAAATGGACTTTAGATTTTATTCATTTATTTCTTACCTTTGTGGAGAAGTTCAAGATGGTGCACATGCAGGGTCCTCCCCTATATTTCTGAGAGAGGAAATTACTGTCCCAAAATGGGCTATGATAGAGTGATGTTTGAATAGAAAAATATAAGGCTACAACATTAAAATATGTCCATATGAATAGCCAGCAAAATTCTGCAATAATTTTGGAATGGTTGTTGATTATTGATACCTTAGCCAATGTAAAATGACAAATATTTATCAGAAAAATGTTTTTACATTGTTCCTTCTATGGAAATATTTTGTACCCTCTGTTGAAAAGAAATGAAGGATAATTAAATTGTTAAGAATTTTAAAGTAGAGTTTCAAATGTTCAGAGTTTAATAGTTTAAAACATGCATAACTAGTTATATGAACAATGTAACTTTTTGTCTTGGATAACAATGGAATTTTTACACTGAGGATCAATAGTCAGGGCTAATTTTATACTGTCTAGGGATAGGTGTCTAATACATCAAATGGATATGTAACTGTTTGACTACAATTCTATTGGAAAACTCACAATATTGTATGGTGGCATCAAACGGTATGCATAATCATATGTTTTATGATATGGTATGATAATAATAATGAATAGGTCCCATAGCAGAAAATCTTACATGACATTTAAAAAATCATTGCATTCACAAAATTGACATTTGTCAGCTCAAAAGTTATATAATATATGGCTTGCATTATGACATCCTAGGTTCTTAGGAAGAATTTGATGCTTATGAAGGCCACTACAGCTAAAGAACTAGCAGCCATGACTTCACATTATTGTGAACTGATAACAATAATTTGTTGTTTGCAATGATTGATGTAAGACTTATTGAAAAAAGGAAAGTCTTCTGGGAAGGCTTAATGAATGTATAATGATGTGAAATCTAGGCTAAATATCTGGGTGACTATGAAACCAACCATAATAATTTTAAAAATCAGGGTGACTATAGCAAGCCATTCTGGGTTCTTTGGAAGATAAGAGGATTCTATCTTAAGGCTTCACAACACTGAAATTCTTGGAGAGGAAGTTCAATTGAAACCCCATGTAGTATATCTCATGTATTTTCTTCTATTGTAGAAAAGAAAAACAGTAGCTCAACTTCCTACTGACATTTCCCTATATGCTCACCTGAACTGACCTTGTGTTAATGACTGATAGTTTCCTGGAGGAAAAAGAAATGTAAATAATTGTCAGTTTATTACATGAGTATTTCAGACACCAGTGAAATATAAATCTGCTTATTGATAACAAATGAACATCTGTCCTCTGATTGTGAAATTTTTTGATAAACCTTGCCAAAACAATAGTTTAAAATTAACTCTATTTTTTATAGGTGCTCTCTGCTATGCAGAATTAGGCACAAGTATTAAGAAATCTGGTGGGCATTACACATATATCCTTGAAGCTTTCGGTCCACTTCCTGCCTTTGTAAGAGTTTGGGTAGAATTACTCATCATACGGTAAGTAAACATAACTTTTGTTTTCTTGTCATTTTACTCCTTATGTGCTTTGAAAATCAAAGAACAGTTATAAATACGATAACAATGGACACAATCTATTGGTTTTTCTTAAGTTTTCCTTCGCATCTTTGTCTCTGAAGACAAAGTAGAGCTAAAGTCCATCTATATTTTGGCACTGCTGTATTAAATAAATAACATGCTGGTTTCCAAGAACAGTAAATTCTGTTCAGAACCTAATGATTTGGAACCAGTAACATATCCAATGAATGATCAGTTCATGTTCTTAATTTATTGCCTAAATATTGGCTGTGCTACTCTCTAAACCAAAAGCCAACAGTGTTCCAATAGCAATTCCATACACTTGGAGCCTAGTTTTCAAAAGGAGACTCCAAAAAACTGATATGAAGCTGGAAAAACAAAGTGACCCCAAGCCCAAAAGGGTTAAATTCAAGTTTAGCCAATATTCAATGGTAGAAATCCAGAAAGTTACCTTTACTTTCAGAAGACTGACTTAGACTCACAAAATAACATTGGCAACACAATTAGAAATATGAAAGATTGTCTTAGACATTTTAGTTTCAATTGATTTGATACATTTCAAGCACTGTACATTTGGGTATGGTTCAAGTTAAGCTGCACAGATAATTTGTAGTTAAACAGAAGTTTTTATTTTTATATAGTTTACATTAATGTCCTTATTTTTCTGATGAAAATAAATTGGAAAGGTAAGCTATAAACCTCTGGAGATTGAATACAGGGTAGTACTTAACCTAGAACCAGTCATTTGGCAACTGTTGTGTAGTGGGATTAGAGTAGGCAAGAACCAGACCAGCATAGATACAACAGCATTTATTGACTCAAACTGAAACTCAGGAACAGCAGACAATTGCCTTTAATTTATACTCTGGGCCTACAGGGTCTTAATCAATCATAATACATGAAAATCCCCGCCCAAATATGAATGCTCAAAGTTTCCCTCCAAAACAGTTGGAGATAACAGTTAGAGTCATCTAAAGGTTAGTTTCACTTTAGCAGGGCTTAACACAACTATATATATATTCAATACATAACACAGCAGTACTGAAAAAAGGGACTTATAATTGGTTCTCATAATTATGACTGTTGCAGCATCCCCATGGTCACATTATCAAAATTTGGGTGCCTGGCAAATTCAGCATTCTTGTGTGAGGTGATCAACATTTGCAACCTTCCCAATCAGCTTCTGACAAGCGAAGTAATTGAAAGAAGCTGAATTCACTTACCGATCATGTGGCAAATGGCAATGGGAATGGTTTGCTTAACAGCCATGGCAAAAATCAGGATTGACTCACTCAACAACTTCCTTGCTCAACAACAATTCCAGCCCTAATTATGATAGTTGAGGACTAGTTGATGGGATCTTGTATCTGGACAAACCAAGCATCAGTATTGGTTTTATTATCGGGAAGAATTATATTGGCAGAAATGAACAGATCATTCTGAGCTGCAGATATTTTTAAATGACTTCTTGTTTTCTGGAGATTACTTATAGTAGGGGGAGGGGTTCCCTTTTGTGTATTACCATGCAATCTGTCTTTATGTGTGGTGGAGACACTAATTTACTACCATTGTTGAAGTAATAAAGTTTCATCTGACATTGCAGATGATTTTTTGTGGAATGGAAAAAGGTATTCTGTTATATTTTTGAGGCATAAGCAGATGACTTGACATGTTACCTGAAGAAGTGTTGTTTGTCTGGATCCTTCCTGAACTTATTGAAAAAAATTACGTGTAGACTTTTTAATACTAAAACGCTCATTGTTTACTGTGTTCTGTTTTTTAAAAAAACACAGCATACAAATGGAACTAAACTGCTAATCAGTTTATGCATAGAAAGTTCAGTCCCCTGATTCCTTTACTTAGTGTACATATGACAGGTTCACATTATGAAAGGATTTCATTTCTGTGAAACTAAAATGCTTTATAACTTCCTCTTTCAGGCCTCACTCTAGATACCTCTTTTCTATTTATCTTATTGCTACATACACCCAATGTAATTCAGCAAGCAACAAAGATTTGCATATTTAACATGACCACAGTCATTCAAAATGCTGTCACATGAATGTTTTGATTTCTTACTCTTCTGGAAATTTCTGGGAGTACTGAATCAATTAGCACTGATCCAAATCTGGGACTTAAAACAAATAATGGAAAATCATTTTTAAATTATGGCAGTTAGTGTGATTGAAGAAAAATGCTTGTTCAAACCAATAACGATCGCAGGATAATTTTCTCCTCTGCCAAAAGAAACATCTATATAAAATATATTTCTAACTTCAATTAGTACTGTTTATATACAGTAAGGCTAAAATTTAACAGAGGTTCTCAGCTCACTTTTCTAAAGATCCAACCTGATAATCAGTAGTAAGATTCAAAGATTGTAAAATCAAAAACATTAACTTTATCTACTAACTAATGACAATAGTAATAATTCTCAATGACAGCAGATCAGATGAGTGTGAGTTAACTTTTAATTGTTCTAACTTGACTTGCTGTTTGATATTTCTCTTTATTTTTTTTTAAAAAAATGTACAAGGTTTAATTCTTCTGTTTTTAAAGCTTTTAAAGCTTTTGTGGTAATGGTTGAGCTATCAAGTTATTATTTAGGATCCATTATGGATATAAATGTATTCTGGAAATTTGATATCCATATTGTTTGATGCATATTTATATTTAATATAGACACAAAATTAGTAGTTTTGGCATTCCTTAGAAAAATAAACTCTTTCTTTTTCTTCCAGCCCTGCTGCCACAGCAGTAATCTCTCTGGCATTTGGACAGTACATATTGGAACCATTGTTTATACAGTGTGAAATCCCTGACCTTGCTGTTAAACTCATTACAGCTGTAGGAATCAGTAAGTATTGAATTTTGATACATAAGGGTTTAGGCCAGTGGTGGCTAACCTTTTTCTCTGCGTGCCAAAATCGTGCCCACTCCCGTAATGCAATGTGCCCTGCCCCCTGCAGATGTGTGCATGACAACCCTGGGCTCCCCCAACCCGTGCATGTGCATAACCAACCCATGCTCCCTCACACATGCGCATGACCCCCTATGCCCCATTTTGGGCATAGCAAGCCTCCCTAGAGCTTCCTGGAACCAAAAATGGGCCATGGTGGGTGTCGCACAACCCCCCTGCCTCCCACTGTGCATCAGTGCATGAACCCCTGCTCCCCATGTATGCATGAATGTCTCCTGCATGTATGGCAGCGATCTGAAAATCAGCTGGCTGGTGGGAGGCATGCACACTTGCATGGTGGAGTTGAGCTAGGCGATGGCTCACGTGCCTGCAGAGAGGGCTCCCCGTGCCACCTGTGGCACACACACTATAGGTTCACCACCGCAGGACTAGGCAGATGATAAGTAACAGATCATTAAAATCAATTTGTTATTTAATGGTGGGATATGGAAATCAATTGCAAGTAACTCTATGTAGGTGTATGTTCAAAGGGAAAGACTGCTGTTATAAAACTATAGTCAACTAGACTCTCTGTTAAGGAAAAATGGGAAAGCCATTCTCTTTTTGAAGTTCAGTTTTTCAGAAGTAAAACACCAGTACACCTTGGATTAGATATTTCAGTGAGATAACAGTGAATCAGATAAACACATTACAAATTAAATAATGAAACACACAACAAATTGAAGTTATAATATAAGGAAAAAGCTGGAACCTGTAATAGCTAATATTCTCAAAAAATTAAGATGTTGAAAGTTGCAAAGTATTGGAATTCAATTTTTAATCTTGTAGTGTTTTAGTGCTTTTTTATCAGATAGATAGACCATCTCTGCCATTCTGAATACTGCGGTATCTCTGCTTTCAGAGGCCCATATATTGGGCATTTGGGAGACAGACTTTTCTTGCTTTGCTCCAGGCTATGGGGTGTATTCCTTCAGAGTTTGTATTTTCACCTTAGAAGACCGATAAGGTGCATCATTTTGGCAGACCACTAAATGTTCATGATATTTTATCCTGCCTTGAGTGTTCCACAAGAAAACAGTAATTACATGGAAACATCATCCAATCATGGAACTGGATGGTAGTCTATAACTGAAATTACAGAAAACAGAAATATTAATGGGTCCAGATCCTGTGCCAATGATGAGATTTGGCAATGGATTTTTTGCTATTAAAATGGAAAAATGCTGGTGGCTAGGTATTAAAATAAAACAAAAACATTTCTGGCTAGGGTGTTAGCCCAGCTTTACCTAAATGTAACCCTGAAAAGAAAACATAAATGAAAAACACACACTCATTAGGTCCCATTAACTCTTCCGCTTTTTCCTTAAGGCTAGTTTTCTAATTCCAGTCATCCATTCTACTCTGTTTTGAAACTACTAAATTTAATTTAATCTTAGGTTCTACCCCAAAAAAACAGCAGTTGAGAAGATGGCTTTGAGTTCTACAAAAGTTCTTGAGGAGCAGGATATATATGGACTATATATATTATAGCCATGGGGTATATATTCTGCATTTAGTAATCTCTCCTTTATCATATTTTATTCATATTTTCCTAATTCCTAATTGTTTTTCGGTGCTTAATTAAGTCTAATAGTTATCTAACAAATACATTTATGATTTGAGAATAGAAAACATTTATTATAGATCCCATGTTTATACTCCGATTTAATGCATTTCAGTATTAAAAATAAACTTTTCTAGGTAATGATATTTATGACCAAAATACCATATATCTCTGGTTTAAATCAGAAATATATTCCAAAATATGGAGAACTACTGGATGATAGCAGAAGACTATAATAGATACTAATTCTTTGTGGTCATGTGGAGATTAGTTTTACAGACTAGATATAGTGGCCTAGGGTAGATGCAAGTAGGCGGTGCAGGATGATGAAGATGGCAGAAAAGATTATTTGCAGTTCACTTCCTTTTATCCAGGACGTAGCAGAAAAGCAATGCTTGAGCAGGGTCTGCAGGATTGCCTGGGATACTACACATCTGCTTCACAACTTGCTTTCCTTTTTACCTTCTGGGAGGAAGCTTCATGGTATCCGAAGCAGAACATTCAGTCACAGTTTTGTTCCATATAGCATCAACCTTGTGAACTCTCAAGTTTCCTCTTTCTGCTATGTATTAAAACGTGTGTTTGTCAGTGGTGAGTTCAGCCGAACTGGTAGTGGTTTGGCGGCCTGGGTCGCTGGAACTGGCAGCAACCCAGGCCTGCCACACACCCAAACCAGTTCTCCTGGCAGCACCGTAGGCACCACCATCTTGGTTTTTTTTCCTTCTGCGCATGCTCAGAACAATTTTTATTGCACTGTGCATGTGTGTGCAGTGTGCACGCGCAGTGTGCCCACAAGCAAATCAGCAGTAGTGACTGCTGGAACACACCCCTGGTGTGTGTGTGTGTTTGTGTGTCTATGTAGCATGTGTATATAAGTGTTATGTATGTGTAGATATATAGTTTCTTTTGAGAACAGGAAACAGAATCTCATTTTTGTTGACAATAAAGGTTGTCTTATCCTGTCCAATCTGGCCTGTTCTGTCCTATCCTGTCTTATGCTGTCTTAGTAAAGCTTTCATCTCAATTTACTTGGGATATGGACATAAAAGCTACTGGTCTCTATTCTACTATAAATTCCACTTCTTTATTCTAAGAAGATTGCAATGTGAGTTATTTGGAGACTTGCTCTGATTGAAACAAGAAGAAATAGTGGTTTGATTGTCATTTAAATGATCTCCATGCACAGCAGAAATGCAGCTAAGAGCCATTACTATTGTGAAACATTTAGGTTGTTTTGGGGAAAGCTTTACTGCCTCTATTAATTAATAGAGCATTTAGCACTCTCTTTTATAAGGATCCTGCAAATGATTGTTTTACTAGGGAAAAGGTGGCCTTTTCACTTGCAGAAAGAGATGCAGTCATGAAGCTTTAATAATGGGGTATGCCACCCTAGGCATATATCATGTGGTTTGTGAGCACAGCTGGAGTTAATGAAGCTCTTTAGAACTGCTGCATGGCAAAAATGTATAAGAAGATGTTATACAATATTAACCTGTATGTGTTTTATACATTTTGCAACATGTTGAACGACAATAATAACAACATCTCTGGCCATATATGCCATCTAATATTTCTATATATAATAATTCTAAGGAAAATATTGTGTCTCCCAGATCAGTTTATTTGGGATATAATTTATAAAGGATCCATATGTGTGTCCATTGGTGTCTGTCTGGTATTTTATTCTTAGAGGGTCTAGCTACTAAAAGAATTAGAAATCTGATGTCGCAAGAAAACAATATGTGCTTTATTTATTTAATTTAGTACTTAGTTCTCTTTATATGCTGGCCAGTGAACACTAGGAGGATTAAGGAAAGTTCCATGCCTTTTATGGTTCCTACTTGACCTTGAATATAGAAACTGAAGGATAAAAACTGCAGAAAACTATGAATGCTAATATACTATGTCCATTTGTATTTTTTGCAAGCAAAACTATATAGGCTGCTAAAAATGATACACCCAAACTCTGTTTATTTATTTATTAGATGTGTATTCTACCTTTTGTACAGGAATGTAAGAGTGCTCTCTCAATCTACTATATATTATCTATATTGTATAGTAAAATTAATATCTATGCATTAAAAAGTACACTCTTTGTGCAACTGCTTATCACCCTCTGTCCCCTCTCTTTTTCAAGCAGTATCTTGTAAGTCATGGAAATTTCCAAATAATTAACTACTCTAGAGTAGGGAAGTTGAGCCCCATTCAGAGTGAAAGACGGAAATTCTCCCAAAGAAGGAATCATTCCAACCCCCAATCTAAAGCCATTCTTCCTTGGAAGGGTTCATTTGAAATTTATTCTTCATCACTACCTATTGGACCAAAATACAAGATGCATTGGGTATTATCAACCTATTAATGATAAGAAAGCTCTGATCAGCAATGACCTCCTTTAGCAGCTTCATGACAATGTGAAACAGAAGTAGATGGAGAAAATATCATGGAGGGACTCAACAGATTAGAGGTGTCCAGATACAGTAGAGATCTACTCTCCCTCCACCATTGATTGGAATCAATCTTTCAGGAATAGGAACTGGGAAAAAGAACATTCTTGGCATCAGTCTTTTAATGGTAGTTTTGATGAATGCTGTGTTCCATATCAACCCCCCTGAGATGCTAAAGAAACCATGAGGATTGCACTCTGCCAATTCTGATCCCTTGAAAGGTCATATACAAGCATCACCACTGCAGTTTCCATACTACAGGTAGCCCTTGACTTATAACAGTTCACTTAGTGATTGTTCTAAGTTACAATAGCAAAAAAAAAGTGACTGATGACTGTTTTTCATATTTCTGACCATTGCAGCATCCCCATGGTCACATGATCAAAATTCAGATGCTTGGCAAATGACTCATATATATGATGGTTGCAATGTCCCAGGGTCATGTGATCACCTTTTGTAAACTTTTGATAAGCAAAGTCAATGGGGAAGCCAGATTTACTAAGCAACTGTGTTACTAACTTAACAACAGCAGTAATTCACTTAGCAATTGTGGCAAGCAAGATAGTAAAAAGGGGCAAAACCGACTTAACAAACGTGTCACTGAACAACATAAATTTTGGGCTCAATTGTGGTCATAGGTTGAGGTCTACCTTTATAGCCCAGGTTGAATCCTGTCTTTCAAAGACCCAATCTGTTTCTTCTAGAGTTCTTATAAAATTACCACTTTCCGTGCAACCTTTCCAAAATAATTATCAAGGCAGTTGGATCAAGCAAAAGCTTCTTGAGTTGGAACACAGCTTTCTTCAAAGGAAATACTCTGGACTCAAAAATACTTTGCAGCATTGATGGCTCTCTTTCATGTGATTGCTTACAGAGAGGTTGGACATGGCACTGTACTATTGTAATACTATAATTCAAATAACTGGTTCTACTTGAAAGAATTAGGAGAGTTTTTACATTATCCATTTTCCATTTCTTTACAAAAAACACCACCACCTGCAGACAGTTGTTTAGGAGTGTGCAGAGATGTAGCATGAATTTACAATTTTGTAAAGTCCACAACTGAAGAACGATTGAATATAGTAATCCTGAATATACATACATACATACATACATACATACATACATACATACATACATACATACATACCAAAGTTTAATTACCCAAAATAGGTAACATTATCAGTGCTAGTCATTACTTAGTTTGAGTAATGAAATGTCTGCAAGAAAATAAGCAAGCTCAGAGAGCACCAAGGACTCCTCATTTGGGCTTCAAATATTTTTCTTTATAAGTAAAATTTGAATTACAGTAAGCTATCTATTATCAGAACTAGTCCTACCATGAGGATCAAGCTTAATTATGTTTACTGGAAGGCTAACAAAACACGATGATTGATGCTTTGGAAGATGGAGGAGATTTTTAGTTGATGATACTTTGTAAAGTTTTTTTTTAAATAAGCTATAAGAAGACTGCTCAGTAAAGGTTAGTAAGGGTAATGTGAGTTGTTCCACTAATGCCCGGGATGCATGGTGGGAGAGGTTTTGCCTAACAGAGCTTTTATAGTGCTTTTGAATGGATGAGAAATACTTCCTTTTAACTTTTCTTTTTCTTTTTCTCCAGCAGTTGTAATGGTCCTGAATAGTATGAGTGTCAGCTGGAGTGCCCGCCTTCAGATTTTCCTAACCTTTTGCAAGCTTCTAGCAATTTTGATAATTATAGTCCCTGGAGTTATGCAGCTAATTAGAGGTATGAACTGAAAAGTAAATGCTATTTTATGTGCTTTCATCTCCCTCCTTCCCATTCTTGCCCCTACCAAAGAGTGCTTATGCCAGCAAAAATCTTTTAATTAGTCTCTGCTTGTTCAATTTAAGTTCCATACTGTCAGGTAAATAACTGGAAGTAAAACTTACACCACAGCATCTGGCTATGAGATCATACTGAGTCTCCATCTACCATTTTTAAATGTTGAACCAAAAGATTGTTTCTTGCAGCAAAATCAAAAACAAGCAAATAGGGTCTCAAAGATTCTTGTAATGATAGAAGACTCAAGCTTCTATACTATATGTTTTATATAGAATAATGTAGTGTATTTGTAATACAACTTTATAGCCTTTCTTTTTATTGGAAACATTCTTGTATAAAGCACCACTCCCACTAATTGGTGTTCACTCTTAAAATGTTTCTTAAGTAGAGTGTTTAAAGTTCTTTAAGAAGATAAGTGAGTTCTATTCCTTTAGACTGCTGTTGACTACAGTAATATTATGCTTGTAGCAGATGTTAGTTATAATATAAAATCTCTAATAGTGTGGATTTACTACACAAATAATATTTTATTACTATTATTCCAACACTATTTCTTCACTATGAAAACATTTTTTCATGATCTAATTCAGTTATATGATAAGGATTTTGGTTCCTGGCTTCCCCTTTCTCTTTCTGTATGTGTGAAGGGGAACCAAGTACAGTTTGGATTAAGTCACAGTTTCCAACATAAGAAGCTATGGCCAATTAATGAACCAGAATCTGAAATTAGGTGATGAGTAACAGTTACTCATCACCTAATTAGTCAGGTATTTAATAGTGGAAAGTCAATTATGAATAAAATATTTAAATTTTATTTACTATATTTAAATATTAAAATATTTGCTTGCTCTAGATTTTTTTTTTAAAAAACACAGAAAAGCAAAGAAATAAGTGCCAAAATATTATAGCATGTTGTGTACATTATCTCTACATGTGCACACACACCTACACTTTTAAAAAGGCAGTGATGAGTTTATGTTAAGTCTGTGTTCTTGAATTTTAAAAAATGGTATTTCAAGGATGGCCCCAAGGTAAAATTGGGAAACCTTAAAGGGATACAATTAAGAGTAACTTCCTAACTGGTAAGTTTATCAGAAGTAAAAAAGTTAAAGTTTTATTTTCAGCAACACTGTTGCATCATCCAAGAACCTCTTAAGATGTTGATACCAAAATTAGGCTGCAATTCTTGGACCACAAATTGCAATAAGTTCTCCGAAATCTTACAAAAATGTCACGGGGAAATTAAAAAATATATTTTAAAATGTAGGCTATTGTTTCAGTTTTTTTCTGAAATTTAAATTAGTCTTAAAATGCAGATTGTGTTCTGAATGCATTCATAATGGAAGATGTTATCAGTGTTATTACCACCTGGCATGCAGGAACAAAGAAACTATTTTGATTTATCTAAACGATTGGAGCAGATAAAACTGAACTGGAAAAAATTACTGGATATGGATTTATCTCTGGGTTGTTGATGTTGGTAATATTTTAACCTTAATAAAATTGAAATCAACCTTGGTATGTTTGTTTTTTTTCCCTTCCCCAGGAAAAACTGAACACTTTAAAGATGCATTTGTTGGAAATGCAGCCAGTGTCAAAGGATTGCCTCTAGCTTTTTATTCTGGAATGTACGCTTACTCTGGTTGGTAAGTTATACTGCTGATTTACTGAATGGCTTTTGATTAAGAACCTTCTTGTGAAATAAATTCTAACCCACAGAGACAGTGCCTGAAGTTTTCTTTTAGTGTCTCTTTGAAGCTAAACATGGGGTGGAAAGAGATTCTGTCCTAATGAAACTTTTCATATGTGAACTCCAAAACAGGGAGTTTCAGAGACAGATTCCAGAGTTATTTGCAATTTCAGGGTGCACAAGAAAAGTTCCAGGAAAACTGTCGCTATATATGACAGTGTTCAATTTCTCTGGTTCCATAGGAGGAACCAAGGGAAAAGTGCTATCAGGGTTTCAGTACAATAGATAAGATTATACTGGTCTCATTTGAATTAGTTTTGCTATTCTAGATTCTCAATTATACTGGATCATAAGGTGACTTCTATGGTTTGAGTTTATAGAATGCTATTAGAATCCTGCCACTACTAAACCTTTGTTTATTTATAAATCAAGCTCTTTTGATTTAGGCAAGAAATCATATATAGCTTTCATTACCTAACTATGTAACACCATTAGTGCTATTAAGGAGTGCTGTTTGCTGTCAGTTTATATTCTGTATCTTCCTTGTCTGTGCCAGGGTGAAGGGGGAAGTCTTAGAGATTCTTTGGTTGGGCTGTTTACTAATGTCTCTTTGGCAGTTTCTTGATTGGGGTATTGCTTACTTGATTGTTGGTCTGAAGTTGACCTTGGAGTTAGCTCAACTTCAGACCAACAATCAAGTAAGCAACACCCAATCAATAAACTGCCAAAGAGCCATTTGTAAACAGCCAAACCAAAGAGTCCCTAAGATCCCCCCCCCCAATCCTCACACAGACTGGCAAGACATCAGAATATAAATGGATGTCTGCAAGAGAACAAGCAAAGTCAGAGAGCATCAAGGACCCGTAATTTCAACCCTGAGCTACAAATATCCTCCTTTATTGATAGCAGATTAGAGTTTAGTAATTCCTGCTATTTCAAGATTACTTGCAGTTTTTGGTTTGTTTGCTAGAATTATATCTTGTCTTTTGTTCAGGAGCTTAAGATGGCACATAGAAAATTACCCCCTCCTATTTTTCACCACAGAAAGAACCTTGTGAGGTAGTTGGGACTACCAACCTTGGTAAACTTACCCAAAGTCCCCAGTGGGCTTCCATGGTGAAAGTGGGCTACAACCTAAGTCATATCAGTGTCAGTCCAAGACACTAACTGCTATACAGTTTAACTCTTTCAAAGACAGGGTTTTAAAGACTATGGATAGAACTGCTAATCACTTTTACTAACACTTATATTGTGAGATAATATTTTGATGTAATATAAAACAGGCACCGCACTGGAGCCTTACTTCCAATTTTGTAGTTGGCCCTATGCCATAAATCTGGTTACGCTTCTCCTCCTACACCACATTTATTCTAAGCACATATTAAGACAAGCTATTCAAGTAATATATAGAAATTGTTATGGGAATGATGGCATTAACAGCAACTTTATTTTTATAGGTTTTACCTCAATTTTGTTACTGAAGAAGTGGAAAATCCTGAAAGGTATGTACCCACCTCTTCTTAACTTTTAGCAAAATTCTTAAACTTTTAAAATTTATATTGCTGGTTAAAAAGTGGGAAAAGATTAATATTCAAATCCTATATTCTGTTTAAGCTTATGTTTCATGATGATCAGATTGTTTTTGTTTTGCAAAGTCCAACCGTGTTATCGCTTCAAACTTTGCTAGTTTTGATTTGACTTGTCCTGGGTTAATAAGCAAGTAGATCTGTAAATCTTCCTTTCGTAATATGAGATCATTTCAGTGCCAAGGCCCTAAGGGAGAGTTAATATTCTTAATGAAGATTTTATAACAGATGTTATATCTTGGATATAAGTCAGTCGAGTTGTTTTGTGATTTCATCCTACTAAGACCCAATTTAAATAAGGAAGGACCCTGTGGACAACATTCATGTAAATTGTTGCTGCTTTAAATGGAAGCACACAATTAAACCATTTATGTGCAGATTTAATATGTTAACAATCTGAGTCCTGTGAGGATGTTTTGCTAGTCTTTTAGCATTGTTTGTAAATTGGATACATAAGAATTTTTCAGTAAGAACTCCCTTTTTATGACTCTACAATCCCTTAATTTGGGGTAGAATTGGGGCTATAGTGAATATTTATATGCCTCCATCCACCATGAATGTCTGATGTTTAAATCTAATTGGGGAACCATCTAAAGATTTTGGAATTGTGATGGAACTTTACTACCAGTGCAATGTAGTAATGTTGTTATGTATTCTTGGACACATATAAGTTCAAGTTTGGCAACTTGCAATTGCAGAGCTACAGGCTGTCCTTCCCCCTGCTTTTTGCAACCCCTGAAGTTCAACACATTGGTAAGATGGTTGAAAATTAGCAAAATGTTTTCATACAACTTTGAGGTGGGCCAACATGAATATTTAAGATCCCTAAATGTATTTTACCTGGTTCAAAACGGTAGCAAAATCCTTCTCCATTACCTGAAAATTGGAAAAGAAATAGAAAAATAATAATCCCACCCACATACCAATTTTAATTATTGGCTGATCCTTCAGAAATATTAACTGTGTGTCTGATCTCAGAAAGTTGAGGTCTTGTGATGTAGGCTGAAGAATTATATAGTTGAATGGAAATCCAAGAGCAGCAGGGGATACCTTTGTCAGGAAAACTTAAGATTTACAAAAGACTAACAAAATAATACACAGCATAGCTTTCAGTCTGTGCTGAGCTTGAGGAATGGATGATAGGCAGGAAAATCCACCTTCCTATTTTCTTTCTGTTTGCCAAAAAGCCTCCCATTTGCCTCCCAAGAAGAGGGGAAAAGCAAAGCAGCTGGATGTGGAGCTGCCAGCTTCAGGGAAGCAGCCCAACAAGCAGAAGCACTGTGCCCAGAAAGAGAAGGGCAAAAGCAGTATTTGCACTGCCCCAAGAGGCTAGTGGGCTACAGCTGCAGCCGGACAGTTGCCTCTCCACACCCGCACTGCCATGCATCCTGGCCATACCCATCCCCCCGGTCTTATTTTTGGGTTGGGTAATATTAGCCCCCCCCAAAAAAGTTAGGGTTCGGCTTATTATTGGGGTGGGTCATGTTTTCAGAGAAACACGTTATGTAACATCTTTTCAAGCCTCCCACCCCAATCCCAGACTACAATATTCTTTCTTTCATCCTTTGGTTTGGAGCAAACACTGACATTATTGCTCATATGGTAAAGGATAATTAAGCAACCGTTTAATTAGAAACAAGATGATGGAAAAGAGTAAGATAGCATAAGAATGATTTAATTAAATACATTGTAGAATAATAATTGATAGCCAGTTTGATCCAGCAGTTAAAGGCACCAGGCTAGAGACTTTGAGATTAGGGGTTCTGGTCCAGCCTTAGACAGGAAGACAGCTGGGTCAGTCATTCTCTCTTAACCCTCAGAAAAAGAACTGGCAAGCCGCTTCTGAAAACTGCATGGACTTTTTCAGGCACTTACTAAGAGTTCAGTCAAAGGCATAACACAACAACCTTAATCCAATAAGAATGAAGTACATTCTTGATTTACAAGCATTCATTTAGTGACCGTTCAAAGCAGTGGTGGGTTTCAAATTTTTTTAGAACCTATTCTATAGGTGTGGCCTGTTTTGTGGGAGTGGCTTGGCAGTCACGTGACCAGGTGGGAGTGGCGAACTTGATGTCACTCACCAGGAGATGTCATGGATTGGGTAAAATGTGGTGAAGCCCACTTAACAAAGCTCTTGCTTAGCAACCAAAATTTTGGGCTCAATTGTAGTCATAAGTCAAGGACTATCTCTACCTTCCTCTGCATGGCAGCCTTGTCCTAGTAAACCATTTCTCCTTTCTGGCAATTTTCCTCTCTGTTAGAGGCACCAAAATAATCCATACAATGTAAGGTTTCCTGCTGCAGCAGGGGGTTGGACTAGATGACCTCCTAGTAGCCTTCTAGCCCTAATTGCTGTGCTGTTTTTTCTTTCTTTCTGCTAACAAAGAAACCTGCCTGAGGCTCATTCCACATGCTTGCCAGATAGAGGTGAGATAATGACCCTAGA